ATATTGAAGTTTAAAATATAAGATTGTTAAACAGAAATTCACATGTTTATATAAATACTGTTGTTTGTTGTTGTTGTTTGCCGTAGAGTCGGTTCCAACCCATAGCGACCCTGGATAGGATTTTCGAGGAGAAGCTGGTGAGCTTGAACTGCTGATCTTGCAGTTCAAACAGCTTTGCAGTCTGGTGCATTAACCCACAGCGCCACACCAGTGCCATCAATTCTGACTCATAGTGTCCCTGTGTAGGGTTTCTCAGGTGCGGCTTGTGGATTTGAACCTCTGGCCTTGCAGTTCAAAGTGACTTTGCAGTTCAGTGCTGATCCTACATGGCCGCACCAGGACTCAAATTTTTATTGTTAAGTGCTGTCAGTCCTTTCAGACTCATTGTAACCCTGTATAGGGTTTCCAAAAACTATCTGGTAGGTTTGAACGTCTGGCTGATCATGGAGTTCAAATAGTCCAGTGCTGATTCTACAGTGCCATACAGGAGTCCAAAATTAAAGTATGAGGGACCTTCACAAAGTTTGTGGGAAATAGAATCAAAAGATAACGGAAGTCCACTCATACTTTAATTTTGGACTCCTGGTAGAATCAGCACTGGACTGTGAACTACAAGATCAGACGTTCAAACCTACCAGATACTCCTTGGAAACCCTATACAGGGTCACTATGAGGTGGAACTGACTGGATGGCACTTAACAACAATAACATACAACAGCAACATACTTTAATTAGGAGAACATTCATTCATGCATGTTAATTTATTCTGAATGCTCTTGAAATCCCCTCATGGCTCTGGAATTTAGATTATCTCTTACCTTATACAAGAGCCCTGAATCATTTTCCCAATGACATGTCTGGTAGAAGACACAGCTCCTTCTCTCATCAGTGCAGTGTAGAGAAGTTTCCAAGGAAGCCAAGTCTCAACAGCTTCTGTAATTGAAGATACCTTCATACCAGACCCTGGATCAAGGCACAAAATGGGTAAATTCAGAAGACAGAAATCTCCTTCCCTTTGTCTAAACCACAAGAAACAGAGATGAGACTACTGAGTTCTGTTGTCATCCCTATTAGGCAACTACTTGATAAGACAGGCAATACACAAGGATAGCCTCAAGGACCAATCCCTTAATGAGAAGATTTTGGGGGTGGAGACTTGGGATGATTGTTTCCCTAGCAGGAATTACAGTGTCCACAGCTGCAGGGGTGGTCAATTCTTGATTTAAAACATTGGAGACCAAGATGAGAAGTCTTTCCCTCACT